CTGCGTTACAGCACGGTGGGAGACGGGGAAGGGGGCCCGGGGGGGCCGCTGCGTAANAAAAGTGTGCAGATAGAGAGTATTATTGAATATAAGCCCTCGATGTTTAAAATATATACAAATTTTATTTCAACGTATACAAAAAATAAATCTACCTGCGTTACAGCACGGCGGGAGACGGGGCAGGGGGCCGGGGGGGCCGCGGCGTAGCGTGACGTGGTGTGCGCGCCGGTCGCGCGGGGTACGCGGGGAGCGAGCGCGAGCGCGACGCGCGCGGTGTGGCGCGTTGACGCGTGCCGCCGCGAAGCTAAGCAAATTTAATATTTGAAAGAGAAATAACGTCAATTGATTTTATTTCGTTTTTAAAAAGGTAATAATGTCAATTGAATTTATTTCGCACCAGGGTGGGAAATAAAGTCAATTGACCTTATTTCCGTTGATCTTATTACCTGCCACCATATATGTATTCATCTATTAGATAACTCGGATATTTAAAACTTTGTTTTTTTTTTTTAAGCCTTACCGTCTTTAGATTCTTTTGAAATGAAATCGTTTTTTAATCCCGCGATGCTGTTAAACGAAAAAGGTTCATTTATAATGAATAAAACTCCTTCCTAATTAAGTATTTTACCAGAAAAGTGCAGCCATACTAAAACAGCTAATCGAATAGGCAGCTAAACGGAATGTACCGTAGTAGACTAATTTTAATTTAGAAATTTGATCGTTACCTTAATCCACCTAATATTAATAATGGAACACGATTTGTAGTACAAGTGATGATCAATATATATTAGTTAAAGCACTATAAAGCTAAAAGTATGGCTCATAAGGATGCCTTAATGTAAACAAAGAACGTAGTTTGCCTCCTTTAAATTATGCTGAGCTGAATATTTGTATTTCTGTTTTATATTTTTGTTTATTTACCCCGAACGATGTCGGGTGATCTGCTAGTATCTACATACATCCAGAGTATAATCTAATGGGAATCTGAGAAGCTTTGTTTTTGCCTAATTTTGACTATTGAAAAATATTGGCGAAATAGACCAAAAACACACTTTGCGAAGTTTACTTTTTTCCCAGCTTTTTATAAAACAACAGGAAAAGTTTGCTAATTTATCCGATTCCCTTTAATAGCTGCACTTTTTCTCATGCCGATAAGTAAATATAATATCACAGTATATGAAAAAGAAAAAAATAAAAATAAAAACTCATCTGATCAAGAGATGAGTGTACCTAAAATCTAGTGATTGTACCTCATGTACCTTTAGGTCAGCAAACGTCGGACAACGTACAATTGTACTTATTTTTCATTCCTACTTGCGATATCAACTATGCGATCCGCGTTATGATAAAATTTACAGAAACACACTACTGGTCCGAGGGGTGAAAGAGAGTTCCACTCTGTCGCGCTTCTGGTCTTTCATTGTCTTCAGCGTCTTTCATTGAGCAGAATGCCGAATCTTCTATCTGCTCAGCCAAGTGTATTCCTTGGGGGATCGTTCGGCAGGCTTCAATGCCAAAGATCGTGGTGCTCACTGAAGTCACCAACTACCATACGGACTTCACATCTGAGGAGCGAACCTACTATATCAGGATGATATCCTGCCGGAAAACTTGTAGCAGGGGTATGTAAACGCCAAATGTTTTGAGCTCCACATCGCCCGACTAGATAGTAATGGCCCAAACATTCTAGGATGGGATTCCTGCGGTCGCTGTCTGCTTCGAAACGACGATAGGGACGGTAGACGTTGTATCCTGTGCAGCTTAGTCTCTTGGCTGATGTGAGCTCCGGTGAGCCGTTGAAGCTGCCTAGGTGTTTGGAGCCAGTTATTTGTTGAGTTGGAACAGTAAGGGACCACAAATGACGTGGTCCACTATTGTAACTTCTGAGGCAGGTTCTAAGGTGACTCCATCCATTGCAGGCATGAAAGTGGAGTTTGGGTGTAAAAGTCTCTGGGAAATGCAGCAGGTATAGGTTTTTGGTTCAGGGTTTGCACGGTGCGAGCCCTGAGCAGAAGAATGTAGACCAGCTGTCGACCCATGTACGAACAACGTTTAACGGATTTTCCCGACCCAAACAGAGTTAGATCGCCGAAACAACCCGACCAAGGTCAGGTGAAAATCGAGTCATTCCGGTACGTAGAAGAGGCTGTCGTGGCAATGCAACTACAAGGTTTTTAATAGTGGTGACCTCCTTATGTTTTGTTTGAGTTTATTTGATGTGAACCAGACACGTACTCATTAAGGGTCGGTTACTCAATGTCTGGTTAACACTAATCTGCGGTTAAACATCTTTATCGACGTCTTCGACTCCATGCATGCTATAGGGAGT